CTCCGTTCTCCGTTCCCTCCTTCAGGGAACGAGGGTTACATACGTAACCGAGACGTTTGTCTGAGTCATGTCGCAAAGCGCAAAGATGAAGTTGACAATCCTGACCTGCCATCTCCTCATTGGATGCCAATTCAGAGAGAAATGCATCTTTATTTCTTTATTTTATAAAAGCACAACATTTTGTTGATATTGTGAGTGCACACAAATAAAAGCAGACCCTTTACAGTTCCGAATGATGTATTATTCTTAGCTTTATGAGCAAAAATTACGGCGTATTTTAAATTGTTTCCACTGATGTCCTTCACAGCGTGCTTCAGTTTCCACTCTTGGCACAAACGATTGGATATGCACCTAACAGCGCACATTTATGTAGTTTAAATGTTTAAACTAACATTGTGATATGCTTTAATGGTTGATTGCGATTTCACTTTTTTAACGTTAGTTAGTGTGTAATGTTGCTGTTTGAGCATAAATAATATCTGCAAAGTTACGAAGCTGAAAGTTCGGCTGCACGTAAGAATCTATTCATATATGAATCGCGATTCTGTCTTCTAATGATTCTAATGGATTCACAAGTTTCAAAATCAATGTTCTAAAGCAGCGGTTCTTAATACTGATAAGCGATATTAATGACGCCGTTGTTTAAAATACAACCGGAGCACATGCCGCTGAGGTGAGGAGCGGGATGATTAGACGTGCACTAGAGGCGGTTTAGCCAATCACAACACACTGAGCTAACTAACCAATCAGAGCCCATCGCCTATTTCTGAGGGAGGGGCTTCATAAAAGCAGGAAATGATCAGCGCGTTTCTCAGAGAAGGGACAGAGCGGTGTGGAATAAAGGTAAATTATGTGAAAAATAATGCGTTTTAAAAAAAAACTATGCATTAACACATGTTAGACTGCACGCCATAAACACAATCAAGCCTAGAAAAAAAAAACAGTGAACCACCCCTTTAAGTATTTTATTTCTATAGAATTTATTTTCAGTAAGTCGTAATTACAACATCGTATGACATTGTCTCACATGATGCTCATAAGTTTCTTATAGTTCATAAGTAGTCTTATAGTAAGTTTCTCATATTGTGTTAGTAGCTGATAACACCAAATCAGTAAAAGAATAAAAATTGCACTACGAAAGGTCTCCCTGATTAGCCTGTTTTTGCAATTGCTTAATCTTAATTTGTTTTTCAAAGATTAATCAAAGTCTTATGGGTTTGGAATGACATGAGGTGAGTAAATGATGATAGGATTTTCATTTTTGGGTGAACTATCCTTTTAATTTATATACAATCAGAAAGCTATTAGCTACAGATTTCTTATTATACGGAATCAAATATCCCAAAAGGTTTCAGCCATTAGTGTCACTGGCATTGAGAGGGCTTTTTCTTAAAATTTAAGAATACATCTCCTACCTGTCTTAAATATTTGTCTACAGTACATTCTTGGTTAGGGTCCAACCAGGGAAGGATCTGGGACAACACCAAAACATGCATAACGTATCGTGTTATATGCCCTAACTACTATTTTGTTAAATCCCACCAGGTATCCTGACGCCAGTGGGGGACGATTTTCCCAAGAGAGGCGCAACGTACGGAAGCACCTCGTCATTCTCCAAAGCTACAGCGGGGCGGGGGAGGGGAGCATTCATCATAGTCCTGTTAGCCCTGTCTGTCAGTCTCTCCATTAGTCCTTCAGTCTCATATGATAAGGGGTGAGGGCCTCTCGTCATGGAGTTTACGTGGACCGTGAGGAACGGATCCCCTTGTGCTGTCAATCAAAGCTGAAACCGGCCAACGTTTTGTTTGCTGATGCCAAAACTGGCAATATCGGTTGCAGGATAGTTTGCGACCTGGATCGTGAAATGTGTATGGATCTATTAAAATTTTACAGACCAAAGAAATACGGGCAAATTTCTGTGTGGAAGGATTTCCAATATGAACCCCAATACACACATCAGCTAACGCAAGCAAAAACACACATACCTGAGCTTTGTGAGGAGTTTTTCCAACCGAGCACACACAAAATGGACAACAAAGACATTTGCGACAAAACTGTTGACTTTTCTTTGATTGTAGGTCTGCTGCCATTGTTGTGATTTGGACTGAAATCTGTCAGGATTTGGAAACATAGCGAACGTGGCAGGGGATTTGTCGAACTGAACATTATCTCCCTGACCTGAAGAGACTAGCGCAGACTTGCGCTTCGGGAGAGACCATCCTATGTATTTTCAGAGTCATAAAGTTATATATATATTTAACAGTTTTATATGATGTACCTTTGTAGCAAACCTTATTTAACACTGACAATGTGATCCTATTCATAAAGGGTGAATTCAAAACAGTCATGTCCTGGAAAGTTATTTACGCATTGCTTTCTTCGCAAATGAACATAGAAAGGAAAATAGTGTACTTGTGTATTTGTGAGTAAACTTTTGTTTTGTATCAACATTCGACAATATACACACACAAAGCAACTGTAACCCACCTTGACAAGGTTATATACATCAGTATACGGCTATGGGTCAAATGTGTTTTACCGCAGAGATTGTACACTGGCAAATTTATCTTATAAAAACTGTTTATGTGTCAGTCCTTCTGTGATATCTGTCATATCGAGACGGTCACGCCATTAAGATAATGGCCCTTATGAGATAATGACCCGTCCGCCACAACGAGCGCCGTGTCCTGCGTGGTTTCTCTTAGACCATTACTCTGCCCTTGTTGGCCCCTCTCCTCCTCTCTCAGCGCCGAGCCTGTGGAGGAATGCTGCTGTCAGCCAGGCTTCAAGCTTAATTTAACATCACTAACAGCCTGCATTACACACGGCGTCTCTCAGCTTCAGCCGCAGTGCCCCACAATATCACCCCCCTCACGGCCCGGCCCAAAAGTAGCCGGAGTGTTTATGAGGGTTTGAAGGAGAATGATGTTGGCTTTATTGAGGCTTTTAATAAGATCTTAACAACTTGCATTAATCATTTACTTCAGTTGTAGGGCGAAAAACGTCCCTTCATACTTAAACCCGAAGTTAAATATGCTAAGATGCTAAAATACATTCTTCTGCTCATTTTAATATGCAAAGAAGGTAAGCCATTTGTAGGCTGATTCCCCTGTGAAGTGTAAACACTGACTGTGTTTTCAAAACATTTTTCTGTTTAAGAATCCTGACCAGCCCAACACCGCAACGGTGGCTCGACCAATGATGTGAGTTTGGGTGGAGCTATTTGTTTGAATGTTGTTGGTTTTTATTGTCGCCATTTAGAACGTAACTTCAAAATCAGTAAATGAGTAACATAATATGAAACAATACTGAACACCATACTTTAAACTAAAGTGTGTTTTTAATACACTAATCTTTGTGGCATTTTCAAAACATTTTTGTTGCTTGAGAATCCTGACCTGCCTGACATAGCAACATCGGTCAACCAATGGGGTGAGTTTGGGGCGGAGCTTTCTGTTTTTGACCAATAGCAAAGAGTGCTCAGGAAATCTTGTCTGAATGCTGCTGGTTGTCTTGTTTTTGAGAAGGTCTTAAAAACTTATAACTGAAGTAAATGACTAATATATGGTTCCGTTCAAAAAGTTGGGGTCAGTAAGATTTTATTTTATTATTTCTATTTTTAAGAATTAATACTTTGGTTCAACAAGGATGCATTAAATTGATCTAAAGTGACAGTAAAGACATTTGTTTCAACTATTTGCATCATAGGAATAGATGACATGACACTTTAAAATGTGTTCAAACAGAAAAGAGTTATTTCAGATTGTACTGAAACTTTACTGTTTTTACTGTATTTTTGATCAAATAAATGCAGCCTTTGTGAAAAAAAACATTACCAAACAGTGTAAACATTGTAAAAATCCTGACCAGCTTACCATGATAACATTGGCTCAACCAATGCGTGTTCAGAAAACCTGTTTGAAAACAGTCCTTATTTTTGCAGCTCTGTTTGGTTTGATCTTCGACTGACTGTAGTTATTACAATGAGGGCTACTGTAGATTATGGGTTTACTCTGTGGCATAATTTGATTAATCCAGTTTAAATATTCAACAGTAAGTGTTTAGCCATCTTTTTTTTGTCATTTTGCTGATATCTGTTTTATCCACTGAAAATGTCATTGCGAACAATTAGCCCTTCTAAGAAAACCTGCAAGGAAGGTGGCGGCGAGGCACGAAGATGATTGGCTAAGGTAAAAAGGCTCCCTTGAGTTCATAATCAGGGTTTGACATGTCGCACTGAACCATCTCAAATTTCCATACAAATCTTACCGGCTTGGCTCACTCATCCATGGACTAAATGAGAAAAATTACAGACTTTGCCAGTTCCCTTAAAATCCCATTTACATTCTGTCAGCTCCTATTAAGGACGAAGATCGTGACAATGGGCAAAAATATGCATGGGAGAGAAATCCAGCCCCAGTCCATCACGGTAATTCCGACCCTGCTTACCAAGGCGCCACTTGATTTCTCCTCAATTTGGGCTTCCCTTCCCGCAAGCTGCACACTAAACAGGCCCTGATAAGCACCCTGCCTGAAAACCAGCTTTAACAATATCATACAATTACGAGCACCAGTAACAGTATCAGCCGTAGATTAGAGGCACTAAATGCTGAGCTATGAATAAATTAGCCACAGTTTTTCGCCTAGGCGGAAAGACCCGAAAAAGAATGAAAGGACAACAAGGCAGGCGCTTTGATTTTCATAGCTCTGCGCCTCAGCTGATAGTTTTCTCCAAATAATTTTGAATGACACAGATTATAATAGATTTCCGAAATAATCCGGATTATCGCAGTCATTACAGCCACATTTGATCAACGAAAAAAGTATTTCTACGGTCACACATCATTATGTGCGTTATGGCTCAAAGCGGGTGGCGATCTTATTTCAATTAAAAATTGGCATGCCTATCAATGTGATGCCTCTGTTTACTGAACTCTTTAGACAAAGACGTCATCTGCAATTCAAATGATTTTAATCAGTAGACACAGAGGCACAACATTGATAGGATTGCTTCATTCGTTTAGCAAAATGTCAAAGCAAATCGTAGGGCCTCAGCTGTGTTTATGAACAAACTCCATGTTTCAGATTTGAAGGAGATTAAAAAGAGATGAAAAGCAGTGAATGTGTAATTGTGTGAAATCTAAACCCAGGACCCTTTTTATAGTGCAAATTTCTGATTAAGGCAAAACTGAAGGAGAACTCCCCGCAATTATCGATAATTGCGAGTGGGCAATTATGTATTAGCATGATAAAAACAAGTGCACACATAAAGGAAGACAACTTTGCACCTGAGATGAGTGCAAGTGGAGGGACGCGCTTTGCCCACGGGGTCGGCGGACGTTGCTCGAGTTCCTCCAGGCTCATGTGGTGAATTATGGTCTGCCCTTCAAGCAGTCACACACGCCTGCCATTAATCATCTCTGGCCAGTGTCCCCATTCTCAAAAGAGGTCTGAAATTTGTTTCCAAACCTTACTGAGACCTGGTTGTCACCCTACCTGTCCACCCTCAGCCCCTTGGGGTCCTTCACACGGGACCATAAAGATGAAGCGGAGACGGTGACTTTGTTAAAGTACGCAGCTCCTGAAAATAGACTAACTTCCGTCAACATAACCAACGTGACCACCTGCTTGCACAGGGAGCGTGCTGGGGACTATTTTCAGGCGCTGCGTAATATCATTGCGCCTGCTGCACCCATGGTACTGCAGCAAAGTTCCTTGATTATTACGCAGGAATGAGAGTATAACTCTAGGGGAGTTGGAAAATGAGCCTATTTTCAAAAATAGTGGCGTGTTCCTTTAAGGGAGATACATACTCCTCACGTTGCCCGGGTAATTTTTGGATTCGGGTGAGTACTTTAAGGGTCACGTGGGATGAAGTAATGTTTTGTAAGAATTAATTGAATTGCTCACTGAATACATGGTCAGCATAAGCAGGACCGATGAAGTATGAATGCAGCGTGGAACAATGTGACCTCCTGCAGGACAGTCTCTAAACGAGAGTCCTGGAGTATCCTACAATAACAAATTATGTCTAAAGACTCTCCTTCTCTCATTTAAGCATGACGTGTTTGCCATTGTTACTGAACTGAAGGTCAAAGATATGTCAGTGTGATTCAGTTTCTGAGAGCTAATCTTTAGGATGGATGCAGAATTCACTAAATGTTGTTACATATACTACCCTGAATTTTACAGACCTGGAGGGCAGGCCGGTGGGTTTGTGAGGCCTCAGGCAAGATTAGAAAAATATCTTAAAAATGAATAAAAAAATAATAATTCTGTGCATAACTAGACGTATAAATATGTTTTAAAGTAACAAGGTTAAGAATCAACTCTTTCAGTCTTTACATGACTTTCTGCATAGGTGTAGATTGCAATCAGCAATAGTGCATTCAAATCATGTCATAATGATTGAGTTTCAGTGCAGAGTTTCAGATTATTTGATCTCAATCATCATTATATTGCATTGCATTAAATGTCTTGCCTCCACAATAAAAACTAGTTTTGATCATAAAACTGAATATTAAAATATCATCTTACGAGGACATATTACTGGGAGATATAGTGACAGCTGATTTTTTTTAATGATATTTTATGCAAGTAGTTTGTTTCACTGTTAAAATCTCATAGATTTACATTACAAGCCAGCAAAATTTCTTCTTACTTTTTGGCTACTTAAATAAACAACAGCTGCAACAAATTGCATATTTTTGCTCAGTTTGGATCTGAGGTGTTGTTTCCTCCTCGAGTATGAATTCCATATTCTCACTGTATCTTTGGCTACTATATGAGCCATAAAAGCCTGATTGTCACGATCTGCTACGGTGCGGGAACACGGAGCCTGGGCTGAACCGGGGATCAGGAGCCCTTCCTGGGCTGAACCGGGGATCAGGAGCCCTTCCTGGGCTGAACCGGGGATCAGGAGCCCTTCCTGGGCTGAACCGGGGATCAGGAGCCCTTCCTGGGCTGAACCGGGGATCAGGAGCCCTTCCTGGGCTGAACCGGGGATCAGGAGCCCTTCCTGGGCTGAACCGGGGATCAGGAGCCCTTCCTGGGCTGAACCGGGGATCAGGAGCCCTTCCTGGGCTGAACTGGGGATCAGGAGCCCTCCGTGGGCTTAACTGGGGATCAGAAGCCCTCCGTTGGCTTAACTGGGGATCAGGAGCCCTTCCTGGGCTTAACTCGGGATCAGGATAGCGCTTAAGTGGTGCTGGCATTGGAGGGTGTTCTGGAGGAGCAGGCACAGCAAAGTGCTTTCGAGGAGCTGGCACTGGAGTGAGTTTTGGGGCTGGAGCAGACACTGGAGCGAGCTCTGGGGCTGGAGCCGACACGGGAGCGAGCTCTGGGGCTGGAGCCGACACGGGAGCGAGCTCTGGGGCTGGAGCCGACATGGGAGCGAGCTCTGGGGCTGGAGCCGACATTGGGGAGCACTGTAGCACTGTAGACACAAACAATACCGGACGCTGGAGCACACACAGGGAACACTATTTATACACACAGGAGGAGGGGATGACAAGACACACCTGGGAGCAATGAAATATCATGGGAAACACCTGGGACAAATTAAACATGGGAAAGGAAGGCACATGAGGAGGAAAACAACCACAAAACACGGAACAGAGTCTGACACTGATGTATCAAATATGATACTCAATAAACACATGCAAACTTTTTTAAAATTTTGTCTAAAGGTTTACTACACTGTTTTTTAAAAATATTTTCTGACTATTATTTCATGTCAGCTTTAAAAAGTATTAT